CCGATACACTCTGAATATGAACGCTTTCATCTTTTGATTGCTCGTGTTGTATTAAATCGCTAGTTGCTTTTTGTGGTTTTTCTTCTTTATCAATAATATGTGATGAATCTGGGCTTAATTTTGCTTTAGATTTTGCTTTTTTTTTCTTTTTTCCTGGAATCACTTTTTCACTTGATGCTAAGACTGATTCCTAAAAAACCAAATTTATCGATTAATACTGGAGATGTTTTCTGTTGTTGTTTTACTAGGAAATTTGTTATTCTGTATTAGTCACATCATTGTTAAAATAAAAGCGTGGATGTTGACGAATTATATTTTTCATACCGCACTATACTGTTCCTAGCTTTCCTATATTTATCACTAATGGCTTATGTATATCTCAACTGATGCAGTGTAAAGCTCTCAGTAGTTTATAGATTTAAAAATCCTGGATTTTTTCATTCTAAAGCAGTGTAACATTATACAATTTCTACACATCTTGCTAATTCATGATTTAGTAACCAAATACAGATTCAGGCACAATTTCGCCCAGCTACGTCCAATTGGTAATTACATATGATTGCACAATTTTCTCGACATCTATACACGTATCATTTTCTAGATACAGAATCATTTTCTTTCATTAAGAATCTGAGTGAGCAGCGGCGGATCTAGCACTATGGCGGTTCCGCGACCGCCACCTCCTCGCAAATGGAATTCTAATGCAACTACACTACCAGGCTTCCTTAGAAAAAATATTCATACTACCTCGGACGACACCGTTTAGAAATCGCCACCCCGTCGGTAGAATTCTGGATCCGCCACTGCGAGTGAGGATCTGATCCATACGTACCGAATGGCTTACATTCTTCAGTAGAGTCATTTTTTCTCCATAATCAATCTCGTGATACTATCCATCACTTCTCAATCATCACTCTCTGAATCGTATTAAAAGTATATTCCGCCGATGACGTCCTCTTTTGCTCTTATTCTCATTCATTTACTCTTGTCATAAAGTTTATAAGTACTGAGTCAGGCCATTGGATGGCATATCTCTTCCTTAGGCTGGCATTCTGTACAAACACGTATTTGTCTCTTATTAAATAGATGAACTATAAGAACTGCTACCTGAAGGACAGATAGCTCACTGCTACACACTGAAAATTCTCTGAAAGACTAAACTCGCGTCAACACCGAGAATATTCGAAGAACGATCATGGGGCTATTGGAGCGAAGCGAGAATTTATAATTCAATGCATTCTGTAAAACTACAACTTACCGTGTCAACATGTTTAGCTTGTTTGTCTTTAGTGGATGTTTGTTGTTGTTCTAGTTGTTCACCAGTCGACTCACTTTCTGGCGTTGCATTCCAAATTAAGTTTTTCACCGTTTCAGCGGCGCTCGAAGCTGTATCTCTAAGAGACTCTTGAACATTTTGAAGTAAAGATGGTTGTTGATCCGAACTTGTAGATAACGATGTGGCATGACCGATGCCCGGTTTTGTTGTGTCACCTGTGCTAACAGCTTGTTTAAGTTTGTCCACTACGCCTTCATCGCCATCGAACGATCGAACAATCTCTTTCTTTTCTTGCACGACGATTTCTGTACGCACTTCGTGTAGTGTTTGCCGCTCGATAGAATCTGGAATATTTTCAACATGTTCAGCTTGCTTGTCTTTAGTGGATATTTCTTGCTGTTGTTCAGGAGTCGACTCACTTTCTGGCGTTGCATTCCAAATTAAGTTTTTCACCGTTTCAGCGGCGCTCGAAGCTGTATCTCTAAGAGACTCTTGAACATTTTGAAGTAACGATGGTTGTTTGGACGAATCATCA